GAAATATCAGCTGTGCTGCTGCCATCAACACCTTTGTTTCTAGATGTTGGAGCTTGGCCTGTTTTCCAGTGTAGTCCTGTTTCTCTCCTATAGCTACAGGTTCAGCTTTTTCTGGGACTAACTGGATTTTCTCTCTTTCATCATTTGACATATAAACTGGCTCGGCGCTCATCTGATTAACTCTTTCTTTCCCAGCCAGAGCCACCTGTGTAGCTAGTTTACCGCTAGCTTTTCTAAGATTGTTAGTATTTATAGATCAGAGCTTCTATGTTTATTTTCTATGTCTGCTTCTATCTCCCCCTGAACCCCAGCCTGGTTCTGGTTCAGCTAGAGTTTTCATCCTGTTACAAGGGAGTTTTTTCTTTCCACTGTCGCTGTATGCATGCTCATTGTGAGCGATATTGAGTCAATGAAACAGAGCAGGTGAATGTCTGTTCAGCTGCTCTGAGCTTCTGTCTTCGTCTCACAGAGGTCCAGGCCAGAGGTGGAGGTCTGAGGCAGCTGCAGGTCGACTTCAGCGCTGCTTCAATCATCATCGTCAGTTTTTTACTATTTTATAATTTTTTTCTCTCCACAGGGGATCAAATGGCGACCTTCAGGCACAGATCAAACCTAAGATGAAGGAAAACGTTGAATTCCAGTTTCTGCAGATAATCCAAGTTCTGGTCAAAGTCCACACCTGAAGCTGACAGAGATGTTGGCGGAGGATCCGGAGCTAACTGACGTTGGTTTTGGTCTCACTTGATTTGGTTTCTGATCAGAGAAGCTGCTATAAACAGCCTGAGGAACTTCCATTCAGCCGCTGCATCATGACCCCGAGGCTGAGGTCGTTTCAGATCAGATCCTCTTTCTGCTCTCGGTTGCCTTGGTAACAAACAGAAACAAGAAGTCACCCGACAGAAGTATCTTAGGATCATATGTCCCAGCTGGGCTCCCATAGACTGTTTGGCCCAGTTTCTGCCTCCCAGTCAAACCCAGCATGAACTTTAATGAGTTTAACTGAAATTAGAGATGAAGCCACTCAGGAGTTACGACACGCTGTAGGTTTGTCCGTCAGTCAGAGACGGTCTGGAGTCCTTTATTCACTCTGTTACTGTGTGGAGATTAGGAAGCAGGAAAAATCGCTCATATTCAGAATCTAAACTTCTGAAAGTTCTTTAAATCTGAAATGATTCCATGGGGGGGCTGCTGTAGCAGAAGCTGCTCTGAGTTGATAATGACTTTATCCCCTCCAGAACAAATTCAGCATTTATGACACAGCTTCTCTCAGAGATTCGGACCTTCAGCCCATCTGTCCGTTTTCCAGCTGCTTCTTCCTCACCTTCCTGCTCTTCTGGATCAGAACGGCTCCTCTGACCAGCAGCCCATCAGGAATCTGCTCCCAAAGTCTCTTCCTGGTTGTTTATTACAGGCAGTACAACCCTGGGAGCTCAGCAGAGGCGGGTATCGGACCCAATAATTGAACCCAAGTCAGAGTAGAACTACTTTAACTTCTTTTTACTCAAGTAAAAGTAAAAGAGTATTCGGTAGAAAGACTCCTTGAATCCTGAGTAACTGTTGGATAATAACATCAGATTTAATGTTTATAAATTATGCTGCAAACAGATTTTATGTCAAAGTATTTTAAAGTTTCAAATAACTAAAGTTTACAAATAAATGTCCTGAATATAATAATAACGACTCAGAATCTAGTTTGGGTCCCAGAAGCCCTGAGCTGAAACAGTCTATCATTTCCTATAAATGTTATGATCTCAGCGCTGATGTCTGGCCTTATTACTCATTTCATTCACCTGTCTAGCTCCGCCCAGTTTCTCATCTGATCCAACTGCTCCAGCCTCTATTTATCCTGCCTGCTTCCAGCCATCAGTGCCAGATTATTGGAGCCTTTGGTGAGAGTTCTCTACCTGATTGATTCTGATTGCCTGATCCTGACCCGTTCTGCCTCTCGACCTCTGAGCCTTCCTGTTACCGTTCTGATCTGTTTTCCTGACCTGTCTTCGGACTCCTGTTGGATTCCGTGTGCCGAACCTGGAACTCTTTGGACCTCTGATTTCCTGGCTCTGACTACAGAGCACTTCCTCCACACCGGCTTTGGCTCCGCCCTCTAGATTATCCTGCCTTCCTTCGTCTGCTTGGTTCTGATCTCCTGCCGGTTCTCCGGACTCTGGGGCTTCAGCGTCTGGGACTCTCTGGGCGGCGCCTGCTGCGTCTTGTTGGCAGCTGACCGGCTGGAACCAACCTCACCCTCTGGACTCGGACTGAACGTTAAGACCAGGTTAGTGACTCACGTCCTTAATCATCCTCCGTCTGATTAACGTCAATAAGCTGTTGTCTCCTCCTTCATAGGTTCATACCTTAGATGCCGACGTTGTTCTCTGCAGTTCCATCATAAACGTTTGGTTAAATCTAACTGTCTTTCCTGAAGGTTTTAAACCTGATTATCGGGGACCGTACATGGTCCATGGACCCTGACTTTGACCTGTTAAACAAAAAGGAGTCAGCGAGTCATTTTAAAGTAGTTTATAAAACCTGCACCACGGGGAGTTCCTCAGGGCTTTGTTCTTTCTTTCTTCTTCGTATCTACATCCTGCCCCAAGTTCAGGTTTTTTAACTTCATGACGTTTCTTACCGTAAATGCAGATGACTTACAACTTTATTATCTCTGCGTCACCATAAGACTATGGCGCACTGCAGTCACCGAGTCACTGTTTCCTGACTCGGGTTTCAGAAACTTCTGGCTCCTTGTTATAAAGACTGAAAACAACAATGATTCCTGTAGTTTTCTGATTTTAGTCTTTCTTTGCTAAATCTTTAAGTTTTGTTTTACATATAATGTCTGACGCCTGCTGCACTTCTTCCTCTGAATGAAGGCTGCTTCACACAGGAAGTCGTTCAGCTTTACCAACCACAGCATTTTGCTTTTCATTCTGAAGTAAAACTCTTTTCATTCGCTCTCAGACTAAATCCTCAGTTCCTGGTTATCCTCTGCAGGCTGTCGTCCTCTCAGGACGGCGAGAGGCTCTGAGGATTCATTGATGAATCCTCAGACTTGTCAGAGACACAGATGGAACGGATTAGAAGCCAGACAGGCTGAAGTTCATGGTCCACCATCCTCTCTGTGCTGCAGGGAGAATCTTCTGGAATTAAAGGAGCACCTACCTACTAAGGATTTTTTTCCAGTCTTCATCTCCTCCCGCTGTGCGGCTTTGAGAGGCTGTTATGTAGAAGTGTTTGTCTGCAGAGCGTCCAGGTGATGGGCTGCATGAGAACGCTGCAGTCCTCCCTCTCCTCTCCGACTCACTGCAGCTGGAAAACTCTTCGATTTGCAGGCAAATAAGTTTCCTCCTTCTGCTGCCTCTTATCGCCCAGCCGGCTCTGAGCTCTGTGACGCACCTGCCTCTCCTCGGCCTTTCATCCACCTGGAGAGCCTGGAGCTTAGCGAAAGCAGGTGTCTGGTTACAGCTCCTGTGGGAGAGGGTGTCCCACCGTCTCCATGACACCAGAGGAGCTTTAATTGGTCACCAGAGCAGAGGTGCTGAACACGGCGCTCTGGTTCAGGAGTCCTGAGGGCATCACGCCCCGTTGTTCAGAGCCGATCGCTTGGTTAGCCTTTAGCTGCAGACCTGT